AATTTGAATTTAAGGGAAGCAGGTCGCTCCAATTGGAACAAACGGACACGTTGCCTTTCAGATTTTTTTTTACGAAAATCTGACGAACCAAACGAGCTCAAATTTAACATACGTCTTATCGATAGAATATAAAAATTACATGAATTTTCGAAACTCAAAATAAAGCATGGATATACAAAATTAGCAACTAGGCAGAGACGAAAATAGTGAATTTAATTGTTTTAACAAAAAAGAAGTTTTTTGAATTCGTTGAATTGTTTGTCCTCTTCATTTTCGACTTTAAGGCTAAGAAATTCTCGAATCAAAATGAAACACACAAATATACACAGTCCATCGAAAATTTAAAACTTTATTAAAATGTTTTTGGCCTTGTGTAAATCTTCTTTGATAAAAACATATATTATTCTTTGCTTTAGAGTGTCTGTTGCCCTGTGTAAATTAGAATTGCGTTAAAATTACTAAGTTCGTTTAAAGATTCATAGACAAAGCAATTGCCACGTATCCTGCTAATTTCCTTTTTCCTTCCTGCAACAGCGTTACGTAACTGTCCACGTCCTTCGCAGTCTAATATAGTTTTTGTCTATCGTATCAGGTGATTGGAATTCGGGCAGGCAGTGTATATAGGAGGCCACGCGTGTTTCGTCAGATTTGTAAGGGTTATCGAGTATCGTTTGCTATATCAGTTATATTTAGGAGATTTTGTATCGTCCTCGGCTCAAAATAGACGCTGGATAATAGAGTTCTCGAGGATCAAACGCGTAAAAATTACCGTCCGACGTCTCCGTCAACTGCCAACTCAAACAAACCTCGAAAGGAACTGTTATCACGAATTGGAAATCAGTCTATCGTACCATCGATTATCATCGACACCAATTCCGCATATGACTAACTCCAGACAATACTGTCTCTCTCGCGATCAGCTGTTACCGCTATCATCGTCCCGCCTCGAACGCTGAGCAAACACACGCCCACGAACGGTTCAAACGGAACTACAGTTACTCTCGACAAATTGCCTCTTCGAACGAGCAAATCAAACAGAAAGAAAGAGCTGCAATGGTCAGTGGGAAACCAAACGCAAAACAACCTGGAGTAGAAGCTTCGAAGATGAAAAATAATACCTCCCTACCTAAATATTTGATGGAATGATCGTGTGACAAACCGTCAACTATTGATTTCAGGATTAGAAAAAGAACGTATATTGATCTCCACACTAAGTCGAGATCATATAGATTAAAACAGGTCGCAACATTCGAGCATTCAGTTGTTTTACATGTGATATAACTGTCAAACGTCTGAACTTTGGCAAAAGAACGGTGAAGCTTGGCCAAACGGCGTCAAACATCCAACAGTTTGAAAGAAACATTAGGCACAAATGATATATAATACAACTGTTCGAAGATACCGGTAAAAATATCAAATTTTTTTAAACATACGCATGAAATATTCGGGGAAACATTCCTGGCCATACAGTATATTTTCGGCAAAGAATTGTTTCTCGAAAGTACGTAGGATTCCTGGGGTATGTCTATTCACCAAAGATTATTGTAATTGACCCCCCTAGCTAAAAATAATTTTTTTAGAACGATTTGAAATGTTTTAATTTTGTCGACAAATTTCACATTTTCTTAAATTTTTTTCTCAAAAATGCGTCGGATTTCGGGGGTATGTCTGTTGACCAAAAATGAGTGTAATTCATCCTTGTAACCAAAAATAATTTTTCCAGAATTATTTCAAATTTTGTAATTTAATTTTTTAATAACTTTTTAACGAAACCTTAGTCAAGAAATTGATATTCTTGATGTTGGTTTTATATTAGCCTCTAGAATCTCTCATTACAATTTTTTCCAGGGGTGGCGGAACACCCTTGTATAATACAACTGCTCGAAGATACTCGTAGAAATATTTAAAAACAATTTAAGGAAACAAATTGGACCACTGCAAACCAGCATAAATAAACCAATCCAATCGATCATGGTAAAAATATCTAGAAACTAGCACTTAACTATCAGATGAAACTTGAAGATCTGAAACAAAGGAATAACTTAGCCAAACGACGTCAAACATCCAACAGTTTGAAAGAAACATTAATTTTTTCACTAGTTGCTAACAATGTTACGAGCAGGCTGTAGAAATGAACACAGGGAGGATACGAGATAGGAAATGTTAGACGATTGATGGAATTTATCGCTCATGAAGATTTACGATCGAAGCGATAGTTGTTAAAAATTAAAATTGAATGTGGCGAGAGTTATAGTTTTTGGCACAAACGATATATAATACAACTGCTCGAATATACCAATAAAAATATCTAAGACCAATCTATGGAAACAAATTGAACGACTGCAAACCAGCTCAAACATACCAATCCAATCGATCATGGTAAAAATATCTAGAAACCAGCACTCAACTATCAAATAGAATCCTTGAGATTCGAAGGAACAGGTATTCCGTTCTCGGGATCCTTAGACGCGTTTTTATTAGAGATCTCTAATTCCGTGATCAAACTAAACGCAGCTGACGCAAGTCGTCCCTCTGTCGCACGGTTCAAACAGATTCTATTAAGCTTGGTTAGCGTTCGCCGGATACTCAGCAGAGACAGGACACGCTCACGTGAGACGACCGTCTCTATTTGCTCTTCCTATTTTCGTAGCCGTTTGGTATATAAAGAGCTCGTCCTCGGGACATTGCCGAAAGATTTGGCAGCCATCCGCGGTTTTCTGCGCCGCGGCACTCGGCGCCGTAGATAGAGCCGCTAGAGAAGACGACCAGGAGCATAGTTTACCCGGTGGTGTGCGAACGCGAACGGCGAAAGCGTCGCCTGGTTACTGTTGGTTCGCCGTACCGCTCGTGGATCCGTTCGAGTTTCGTGTTCGCGTTCGCGTTCGCTTTCACGGGGAGCTGGCGGTACGAAAATAGACCCGGTTCGCGATCTTCCTTTTGCCCGCAGGGTCCCGGTGGAAACGCCGGAATCGATCCCTTCGATGTTCGCGCGACGCGATCGCCGCTTAGCAACCTCTCTCGATGGACACCGGAGGATCGTGCGTGCACCGGTGATCCTCGTGTCGTGAATCCGATCCACGTGCTCGAAAGGTGTGTTCGTTACGTATTGACCCCTGGTGATCCCATTTGGACGAGCAACGTCGCCCGTTGACAGCGAACTGAGACAAAAATTCGTCCTCGACGCGCGGTGAACACCAAGTTGGCGCCAATGGATGATAAATGAAGCACGTGGCGCGCAACTGACACTCGACTGAGAAGAGATCGTAAGGAAAAGGAACATGGGGAACGCCGACAGCATCCACGAAGTGGAGATGAGCTCGCTGTCGACGGTCGAGAACGATCGTCCTCACATCATGGTGAATACGGTGATAAAAGCTAGATTCGAATTTTAGATCCCCCTGAGCCCCCGACGGAACTGGTTGCTCGTGACACGCGATATTTGCAGTTGGTAATCGTGGAGTTAAAATTTGTAGATAAGTTACCCCCAATGGGAGAGTCGTACGCTATGTGATTTTCTATGAATGAAGAAAAAAACTTGTTTCTTGTTCTTAAAAGGAAAAACTCATTTTAAGTTAGTTTACAATAGAGAATTTATTCGAGATCAAGTATTTTCAATCACAATGTTTCATTGGAAATAAATCTTTTCTATTATTTAGTAATTCTTTATTTTTTCGTACGTTGAGATGTAATATTTATATTATGTTTATATAATATTATTCCTCTGTATCGATTTTGGTAATTCATTACTTCTCCCTTGATATTAAAAAAAACTATTTTGTAGATAGAAGTGTAAGACAGTGTAATAAACAACATTTGATAAAAAGAAATAAAATAAATAGATAAATAAATTAGCAATAAGTTTGCTTATACGAAAATAGATAATAGAAAAAAAAATAAAGGAATAAGTTTCTTCAAAATGAATAAGAAATAAGTTTCTTTTCGTTTATAGTGAATCACCACTGTAGTGCACGAATAGGATTATTCTTCTCTATCGGTTTTGGTAATTGGGCATTACCTGTCTCTTAATATTAAAAAAAAACTATTTTGCAGATAGAAGTATAAAACAGTGTAATAAACACCACTTGATAAAAAGAAATAAGTTTCTTTTCGTTTATAGCGAATCACCACTATAGTGTACGAATAGGGGAAGTAATTGTACGAGAAGAAAATAGTAACATTCCGTAGATTAATGTTTGGTATAATTGTGGTATTAAAATAGTAGGTTCGAGGATTCGAGCGAAGGATAGAGAAAAGGAACAACAAAAATGTGGTTCGATCGCGAAACGGTTGCGAAAGACCACCATTGACAGGTCGAACAGGTTGTAAAAGCAGATCGTATAGGTATCTGGCCGAGAACAGGCGCCAGTGCGCATATATTCGCTGCTCTAAAGCGTGTATGTATATGCATTGGTATCGCAACTGCTCGACACGTAAGACGGTACATTGCACGGTTTATGTAAAATCAGACTTGTTTCAAACCGTGCAGTCGATACCGCGGGTCGTTGGCTCGTCGTAATGTCCCGAAATGTCAACGAATCGTGACGCGCCACAACGCTTCGAAACATACGTTGGTTTTGTTATATGCTGGCATTCTTGGAACAACAGAATCTCGTTATGAAACCGAATATTTGGGAATGAATAAATTGTTAAATAGATTTACTCAAAAATATGAAGTATAAAATATAATTTCTCGCTAGTGCCGTCCCAGAGGACCGATCGTATTTTTGTTTGCTCGTGTATTTGTCATTATTTCGTACATCGAGGATGATCTACGGAGATTCTTAAAAATATTTGGGAATGGATAAATTGTTAAATAGAGTTACTCAAAAATGTGAAATATAAAATATAGTTTCTTGTTAATGTCGTCCCAGAGGACCAATCGTATTTTTGTTTGCTCGTGTATTTTTCATTATTTCGTACATCGAAGATGATCTACGAAGATCCTCAAAAAATTTGTGTATATAGTTATTTGTAATTTCTTTTTTTTTTTTAATTTCCAGAGAACACCAATGCGCCCAATGATAGCGGAATACGACCCAAAGAAGCACGGTGTGAAAACAGAACTCACAGACATGGTTCTCGTCAAGTAAGTGTCAAACTTGGTTTACGAAACCGACGCGAACGAACGGTTCAACGATAGTCGAGCAATTCACTATCTGCTACCACGACCAATCATCACCATTGCTTTCTTGCCAAACTCAAATGCTCCGTGCTCAAGCAAACGTGAGTGACAAACCCGAGGATCATATATTGTGCATTGTAATCGTATATTTGTGTATTCTCTCATTCTCTATGCTCGATTACTATTTGTTACATACATACGTACATACATACACACATACATAGATATATATATACATATAATTTTACGTAAATATATTTTGAAAAGATATTATTCTGTAATTGTTAGCATCATAACTAATACATCATGCATACCGCCTGATCGCTGAATTCGTAGCGTAGCTGGCACCAGGGATGCTTGACGATTGATCGCTGAATCGTGACGATTCTATTGCTGGTTTGTGCAGGAACGTGCTTCCATTTTATTTATTGTGTGTCGTGCGCTCACATTGTATTGTTTTGAAAACCTTTCCTCCCTATTTTTGTTTCTTCTTTTTAACCCGTTAGTGGCATCACTTCACCGTCGACCGGGCAATTCGTACATTTTTTCTCTGCTATAGCATAGTCTTCGTATCATCCTAAACGTTCACAAAAGAATAGAACATTTTAGAAGCTTGCTGTATTAAATAAGAGAAGTAAACAATATCGAATCGATCAATTAACGTAGATTTACCGACTAACTCTGTTCAAAAAAATTGCAATTTTCTTTTTACTGATTATTCTCGTTTTATTGCTTGCGATCTTGGAACACAAAAATGTAATTGATAATAGGAAATTTATGAACCTTTCACCCCTCTTAACGAATCCTATGTGCTTTTAGAATTTTTAACGTCTTTTCTAACACTTTTTCAATATTTAAAACGTTGGAATTATATTCGGAATTATTCAAAATAATATTTTTCCTTTGGTTTATTATTATAGTATTAGTTTTATAGATTACTACCGTTGCAGTATCATAAACGTCGCGTTATTTTAAAGACCTATTTAGAACCGTAGTTGTTTCTGTTTTAACATGGACAAATCTTTTGTTGCAATGAGTAAAAAGAAGGGGGAAAAATAGTGGTAAATGGAATGTGTTTTCGCAACGTTGAGAACAAATGGGTACTTTGAGAGTTGAAACTAATACATGCAAGACTCGATAAAGAGACGTTTCCTTGTTGAGACCATAGTTCTCAAGTATTATCGATGATAGAAAAACTGGAATGCGCAAAGTGTGGTAATAAAACGTAGTCGTTTTGCTGTCAGAACTCGTTTTCTCATTATTTCCTCGACTTTAATTTATCGAACGTTAACACGCAAGATTTCTTTATTAATAAATATAACAAAATTAGTAGTTGGAGTTTTGATGGCACAACGAAGATATAGTCTCGTACACGGTCTTGCAATCACATATTATCCTTTTTAAATAAATTCTAAATGAGAACCAGAAGAACAACGAATTCTGTATCGATTGTGAAGTTTTCCATTTTCCATGCAAAGGGGTCGAGTAAGCTGTCGTTGAATAAAATCACTGCTCGTAGTTTACAGTATAGATTTCTTCTTTAATTCGCGGAAGACATGCAGAATCAAACAGTTATCAATTTTCTGCACGAATAGTCATTAACGCAGGTAAAAAATTCTTAAATAACTAGGAAATGCTGATTTCGTTGATAGTAAAGAGACGTTATGAGTGTATAGCATGAACTTGTTAATAACGTAATGGTCTCGTTAGTTGCACGCAAGTTATCCCCACTCCTTCTTACAATCAGTTGAGGAACTATTTGTCGTCGATACTTCGATTTTTTCTATTTTAATGAAACAATTATAACGGAATTTACTAATTTCACCAAAATGAGTCTAAATAGAGCCTTAATTAGATACTCGTAGATCCAATACATATATTAACATATAGAAATTATATATCATAATTTTAAATGCAGACTTAATAACAGATATTTTATTGGAATTTATTTTTGAGAACAATATTTACGAGTTTCGTAAAAAATACATAGACCTCTCGAACATTGTACGAGCATTTAGAAATCGAAGCAAAATCAATTGGACGCTCGAGGCCACCATTTTATCTCCGGCATGTACTTAACTGCCATATCTCTCGTTTTTGCACGCTGACCCCACAGGCGCATGCTATCTATCATAGAGACAAGCGTGATTCATAGTTGAGGATTTTCAGCAACCCAATCGAGCTTGGGAAAAAACACTTAAAACTCCAGAACGAGTATCGTATAATTCCAATTTTTATTGCAAATATAACGAACCCTTCGAACGTATCAGAATTCAAATATAAAATGTAAACACTGTAAAAAAAAGAAGAGGAAGATACGAGAAATTGAAGGACCGAGGTGTTGAAGAGTTAGAAACAGTAGGTTTAATCAGTTCTATAGTCGTCGACGAAAGTTTTGCTCGACCCCCTTGACACCCAGGGAAGGATTTACACTCTGCACCGTCTAACAGTAGAGTAGTAGAGCGATGGAGAAACGACACGTAAAATGAGAGGATACAATATACGTAAACCATGCACGCAGGAGCCAATTTTCCGCACCCGATCGTCGATTTAGCGGCAACACGACGAAATCTTTGGATCCTTTGCGCACAACACGGAGACCCTCCTTGCTACACCTTTCGATCGATCGATCTCGTTCACCTACCTTCGATAATCGACGCTCTTCTGCTCTATATCGCGCTATTTTTATTTTTTTTTTTCGTTGGGCAAAATTGTATTCGAACGATACACAAGCTACAACATCGATAATAATTTATTTATACGGTCAAATTGTTCTTCAAACGTTTTATTCGTACGAGAATTTTACCCATCTTTCGTTGCGTAAGTTCCTTTGTTCGACGGCGAATAATCGATCGTGAAATCGTCCGTAGAAAATCTCCGATAATGACGGGACCTTCGACGCGAGGATGCCCCTCGGCGGTAATTTCGAATTCTTTTACGCTCCATTGAGCGATTATTCCCGTGAGTTAATTGGAAACGCAACGCTTAATTTCTTTCTCGTTGCACGGTCGCCTGGCACGAAACGCCTGTTGGGTAACATGTACGTTTAATCGTCGCGCGCGTAATCGACCGACAATTTCGTGCTAGAAACACAGTAGTGCCCCGTTATATGCGTGGCTAGCGCCCCGGATACATGCGAGAGAGTCGGCTCCGAGCGATCGGGACGAAACTCGGTCGATGGACGATCCACGGCGGATTATTATTGAAATTTATTTAGATTAACTGTGTTAAGAAAAATAATAAATAGTTACGAGTATCGATCGAATGGAAACTTTAACACGAATAAAGTTAAATTTCATGTTATTTATTAGGTAAATGATTACTTTTACAGTGTTGCTTTCCTACTTTTTCGAATAAAATATTTATTGATAGTAAAGTACTTGATCTATTGCTTCGTAAATCAGACGTATCGCCCACTTTATTTGTTAATTGTTCGAAACTCGTCGTTATTATTTTGTCAATAGTATTTCTAAAATCTGATTAGCGATGTCTTTTCAATAAACATTATTTTACTATTCAAACGACTGATCGAAGTTAGTGTATAATAATCCGCCACTTATTCAAGCCCGGACATATACGAATCTTCGTTTTTTCGCATATAGCGAGGCACTACTGTCCATCGTTACAGCATTACAGATTTCATACTCCAAACTCAACCGTTACCCTTCTGCAAATCAAACTTTTCTAAGAAATTGTTTTCTTAAACTTCTATAATAAAAACAATATTGATACACGAATTACTTGTTTAATAACAATTACCAGTTATATATAGAATTTATAATTATGTACGAGTATAATATAAAAACTCTGCAACTAATTTCATGCATTTATTCATACAGTAATTGTGATCATTTTGTTGGGGAACAGTTGCAAGGTTATTAATTACTTAAAAAAGAATGAATTCGATTTGCAAAGGAGTGAATTTAGTTTACAAGAAGTTGAATTTGGAGTGGAAAATCTGTAGTCAGGACCCGGTTGGATGGGTCCCATCGGGGCCCAGTGATTCGCGCGACGATCGACTCGACCGTAATTACCCTTTATCGTGGAACACGCGTTTAACGGAATATATTAAAGGTCGCGTTCGAGAAAGTAGGGATGAAAGGTACAAGGGGCAGGAAGGAGGGAATCCTCGCGACGGTTTCTTCGTCATTGGCTGAAGATGCTTCGTGATTGAGGCCATGCGGTGTGCAAGCAAACTATGTTCCTCTGAAGGATATAAAGATGACATCTGTCTTTACTATATAATATGTGCATTTATATGATTCCAGACTTGCGTATAAACTGCGGGCATAGATTCGGGCTCTATGAGAGTGCTCTGCGAATAACGTGAAAGTGACAAAAAAAAAAATAAATAAATAAAATAAAATAAAATAAAATAAAAAGTAAAACAAAAAAGTAAATACGGTTATCGTTTAGAAAGAGAACGACATGGTCTCTGATGGACGATCGCGGGTTCGATAACAGTTTTGTGACGGTTCTTTACTTGACCGACGTGTAACCGAGACGCCAGTCGACGAGCAACGGGCAAAAATTAAAATAAAAATTATTACACCGTGAACGCAAAGTCTCGTGACTCGGACGAACCGCGACGCAATAGGACTGACGCTCTAAACGATCAGCAAAAAAAAAAAAAAATAGAGAAATCGAACGAAAAAAGAAATACCATATGTATACATAGAGAGAGAGAAACGAGTTTCGAACTTTTTTTTTGCCCGAGTAAACGAAAATATCTAAACGAACACAATACGTATATATACGTATACATTACGTATATATATATGCGGAAACGAAAAATAATTGGCATCGAATAAATATAGATCGTTCGACGTGCGTATTAAAAAAAAAAAAAGCAAAAAGCAAAAATTAAAAAAAAAAAAAAAACAAAACAAAACAAAAATGCTCGGCGAGAAGTGCAAAATGTCAAAAAGCAAAGAAGGCTTGTTAGTCGTCGTACTGCGTCGTGG